AGCATACTCTCTCCCAAACTCATGGTAGTCATCCATGGGAGGTCCCTCCAGATGCTGAAACAACCCCTTCCATGCAAAGAAGGGTGTAAACAACGTGGGGTTACGCAAGAACTGCATATCGCACCACGTGTCAAACTCCAGGATGAAATCATCCAACTCAATGGTGCCCACTGCACCAGAGTACCGCCGTGGGCCCTTCATGGCCCCGTACATACCGTCCATGTCCCCAGTCCACGAGTGTGGGACCCTAGACGATATCACCACCAAAGATCCGATATCTGCCACACTCCGCGCCTCTCCAACCACTGATGCGCTAGGATGAGGTAGCCGATACCTCAACCCACTCCGCGTAAATCCTCCACGGTCCTCAACGGAACCCCCAAACTCCTCCGTGATGACTGACTCACCAATCGGCACCACTGCCACAACTCCACCTGCCCTCGTCCCAGCACTAACCTGCTCTAGCCCTACTGACTATGGGTATGGGCAACCTAACCTGTCATCACCGCAAGAAGACTCTCATGGTCCACTGGTCATCACTCCAGTCTCACCATGAGAGAAACAAAGATAGGCGCCGGTGATCAAATCCAGCAGCACTATCGACAGCACACTGGAGTAAAACTACTCCGGAAATCAACGTCAACCCAGACATGGGCGCGCATCAAGAAGCTAGACTGGAGAGGATCCAAACACAGGCAAACAGCTAGCAACGACTCTCCAGCCGAAATGAAACACAGCACAGAACAACACAACACACGGGAAGTCGCCTCGCATAACGATCCCGAGTCGAGCTCCCTCGCATCCTCTCATCTTCCACCTCCCGCGCCTGCAACGCTATCTCGCTCATCCCGTCGCAAAAAAATAATGACCTCCATGTTCCAAACGAGTCTAATTTCTCGGGTGGACTTTCGAGGGCCTCAGAGACTCGGACAGCGAAGGAAGCGGGCAAGCGGTTGTCTACCCACTGCTGCGATCATTTTCTCAGGACAGAGAGCTTCTCAAGGCTTGGAACCCCTCCAGCCTTCCATGCCAACTACACGTGTTCTCCAACGGGTGAACTCCAACTCTTGTGCCCGTTCCATGTCAGCTTTGGACAACAACCCAGCACCTTGTCCTCACGCAAGAGGACAACGCCGTGTAACCAGAAATCACCGCATCTGAACTTCCACTGTTTCTGCAGCTGCTCTTGTGAAGGAAGGAACCCGCTCTCGCACACATTCAACACATGCTCTTTCTCACAGCAGCGCATCTATGTGTGTACATGATCCACTGCACTCGCGATGTAGCTGTCCGACATGCCTGAGGCCTGAGGACACAAGAGGAAATGACTGAGGTCTGTAAAGTAATAATCAAGCATAAGCTGAATCCGAGCACCATTGTTCTACTAACGAGACACCTCACAATGCGTGCATGCACGCGGAGTTCTCCCAAAGAGCGTTCTTATAGTTTTCGCTGCCATGAATCCTTTCACGTTGATCAACGACAGTTCTCCACGAGGTTTCCCGCTTCTGAGATTGACACTTGTCCCGAAGCTGGTGTTAGATGCTCCACGAGGTCAGCCTCTCGTCGACAGAGTCTACTCTGTGCCCAGATGCACACAGCGAGCCGATTCATCCATTTCCAGAGCTTTATAATGGAGTTTTACCGGGCCTATAAGGTGTTACCGATGCTTGCGGAGAACTGTCTGCTGAGATTTAGGCCTGCTGGAGTGAAGATCGAAGCATCTAGCTTCTGTCGTAAGAAACAAAGGTGCAATATGTTTTGACAGCTCTCAGTGGCTGGAATAGCTCTGCATGAGATTGGTAGCTGGCTGGCTGGCTACATCGGTTCTGGTCTGTCCATCGACCGATCCGCGAGGTCTACGGCTGCTCGGGGGAGAGACTAGCAGCAGCAGGTTGAGGTCGATCATTGACCATGGAGTGGGCCAAAGAGAAGACAGCGGCGGCGGCAGAGACTGTCAAAGATGCCACATCGAGTGTGGTGGAGAGTGCGCCGGTGCAGACGGCAACGTCGGCAGCTGAGCGCGCTTACGATACAGCCGCGGATTACGTGCCCATAACGACGAAGGAAAACACCCCCAACATGACTGCCTCGATCATTAACAGTCAACCCTTTGCATCCTTCAAGCCCGACCCTGCCAATGTGTGGAAAGGGTATCTCATCTACTTCCTGCTGGCAGCCGGATGCACTCTTCCGTGGTGGACTTTTGTTCTTGGTGCCGATTACTTCAACTTCCGCTACCCTATGACGCATTTTCTTCGCCTGCTTCCTCTGGTGTACTTGGGCCCATGGTTGCTGGTCTACTGCATGTTCACTGCTCTCGGCCGGCAATACACGTCCTGGGCTCGAATCAACATAGGACTAATGATTTCCATCTTCACGTTGATTGTCTTGCCTGTGATGGATGGCTTTTTCATCAAAGGAGATCGTGGGATCACAGCAACGTTCTGGGTGACGATCGCAGTAGTCGCATTGGCAGGGGCAGGTGATGCTGTCGCTCAGGGCAGTTTGCTGGGCATCTCGTCCGAGCTTCCAGAACGCTTCACGCACGCTTATGTGTGCGGATCTTCTTTCTCTGGTAAGCAGCTCATCCCCATACTCAAGAAATCGGTTCAAAATTTCCTCTTTTCCACAAGAAAAAATCCTCAGAAGTTACAGATCAGGGGCCGAAACGAAATCAGCCGCAGCACTTCGTGATCTCTACAGAATGCGTTGGAATACGACGGAAGAGCTTGACACCACCTCCCCTGTCACTCTCACTCACGTGCATTCCTGAGAGTTAATTCATGATAGCGTAGAAAAGAAACTTAACATGTAGAACTTCAGACCGATGTGCATTCTTGTCTGAAGAAGACGACGAGGTTGGATAATCCAATAACATCGCGGTGGCCCCATTAGCTCGAAAGTGGAGGTCTTGAGCACGGAGACAATCGAAATTGGAACACTGACTCTGAGAGAGAAATGATGGGAAACACTTTGCACGAACAAAAGCACGAAAAGAAAACTGACAAAAGCACAAACAAAAACCTGAACACAAGAACAAAAGCACGAACAGAAAACCAAGAAAAACACAAGCAAAAATCTAAAAACAGTACATTTACGTATTCACTGTTCACTGTCGGTTCTTCGAGTAAAATCACTGTCGAAACACAAGTATACAAAGAGTCGAGCCAAACTCACTCCCAAAGGAGACATAGAGTCGAAGCTAGCGGGACTGACATATCCCTACGCAAAAGGCTCAACTCGAAGAACTGACAGTTCTTCGAGCTCGCCTCGAATATAACCCACGGAAGGTGTCGACGACCTCAACGTGCAGGGCGTCCCAACGTGTACCGCGTCCTAACGTGTCTACACTCAAATCCACACTAACGTCTCGAGCCATGACAAAGAACATAGTGTGACATTATATAAAGCAGGCAAATTACCAAGATCACATAACGAAGGTTTTTTATGACATAGATGGAACCAGAATGGAAAGATCCAAACAGTCACGACTCAATCAAAATGTTAAAACTTCACTTTGAGTAGGGCAAGCCAGGGCTCGCCGCATCTCAAAAGAGGAGGAGCATGACAAGGAGTCCAGGACTCATATTCTGTGAGTCTACTACTGCAACACTACAATGCAAGAAAGCACTTTATGTCATTAAAGGCCAAACTAAAACAGCCACAATGACAAGCTTGTGATGTTTCCATCTGTTGGGAAAATGGACGACCCAATTGGATGTTATTTTTCATGCTGTAAGTCATCCTTATGCGCTGGCTCTTTTGAATCTTGCTCAGGCTTAGCCAGGGCAAGGGTTTAAGTGCGGCCATAATCCAGTTGTCCCATTGTTGAAACTTTGAAAATCGGATAAAGTAGGGCTGAATTAATTCCATCCAGTGCATGTAGTTAAGCCTACCGGATCCCATGAGGATTACTCGTGAAAGCTACGTGAATCAATCAATGTTATATGAAGTTTAATGTGGAAATGTGTATCCGATTTTATGTTTCAGTTTTTTGGATCTATGTTTCTTTCTATGTTTCAGAAATGTTTGGGAAAATATCAAATTACCATTGTAGTTAGAATGTATTATACATGGTCCAAACTAGATTAAAAACAGTTCTCAGACACAGATAATGAGGTCATAAAAATTTTCAATTAAAAAAACATATGAGAATATGTTTTTTAGCATTGTAAAGTGATATATAGGGTTGAATTTAAATTAGTTTTTTAAGTAAGCTTACATTTTCTTTTACGGAATTATTTTATGATTTCAGATATAGATAGGTTTATATCATTTGCATTGAATATTTATTCTTACAATTTCATTAACTTTTTTATAAAATCATCTTTATTAAATTAAAATGTTATATTCTGTATTTATCTATGTTGAATATTGAAATTAAAAAAAAATTAGCATTAATTTGTGTGCCAATAATCTTTCTAATCAACGTTGAGCTATTTCATCAATTTCCTAATAACAATAATATGTCCCGAAAAAAACTTAGGTTAGTTAAAGTCAAGATCTGTATTTGACATAATATGGCCATTATTTATCATTTGATTTATATACAACCGAAGAGTTTTATCTAAAAATGATAATACGTTCAATTGCAATATAGATCAAATTCATATATGATCAAATTATATCTCAACCATCTAAAAAAAGAGATCTAGTTTACTAGTCCAGCTTGATTATTACAATTCGTAGGGAATTGTTGAGTCGTAAATTCTTTTCTTGTGATTCTTGAATAATTGTTTACTCAAAGTATTATGCACTCAAAGTTAACTTAGTGCAATTAGATCATTTTTACAAATCTTTTCAGATATAAATGAGATGAATCTATGCATTCAAAGTCAATTCAATGCGATTGTAGCATTCCACATCAAAACTCTGCTTTATTAATTATATATGTGAGAAAAAGCACACAACATACATGCTGATAGTCAATTTCAACCAATCTGTACTTTCCAAGCAACCAATTAAATGTGGATGGACAGAGTCGTGATTTATCATTTCCTCCTTCCGTCTTTGATTTATCTGGGGTACAAAAGGTACCCGCATGGATATATTTGGATTGTGATCTCGTCAACATCTTTACAGCCTGGAACTAGCCTAGGTTTCACACTTAGAATCCGACCGACTTTGATTTGATTCCACTCGGGGATTGAAATTCCGAGGGTGCTTTTAGATCGTGCTGAACTGATGCCTCTTGACACTACAGAGATACTATCTAGCCGTCTTAATACTGAAGACCTGAAGTTCACGATAGGATTCCCCAAGCCGATACAACGCCTTCATTTGCTTTTGCTCATGTTCATCAATCTGACTACTATTTTTCCTGTGCTCTCCTGTTGACCGACAATGTGCATTTAAGTAACCTCGGTATATTGCAGGGAAGTTTTGATATGAACTTTGTCCTAGAACGCATGCTGATGTAGACGTCTGCGCAGCCTACTATGACTCCTTACAAAGCCATGTTGACTGGCTTAAAAAGACTTGCATCTGCGTTTTGAGTCGAAGGCATTTGTTTCCAGTCGGTCAAGGTCCAATATTCATCCTCCTTTCAGTCTCAGACGTGAGTATGACTCCCACGCCTAGGGGTAGACATTGGATTTTAGGTGAAAACGTACAGACATAGAATTGCAGGTAGATACGCAAGCACCATACCGTGGGAGCTACTTAGTAAATGAACTCTAGCTGTTGTCCACGGACGAAAGCTTAGTTCATGCGAGACCTCAAGAAGATACACCTGCAAATCCCATCAGAGTACGCATGCTATCTTTCACCCAGGAACTCAGACAGCTCAAATACTAGTTTTGTCGTAACAAACAATTCTTCTGACTCGCCCCGGCAAGAAGAGATATTGAGGGTAAAGATGGCACTCGCAATTGCTACTACTTGCATGGAGAAAGGTCCATGAATCAATGATTCCAAAGTTGGTATGTATATGGTATGCTGGTCTTCGACTGAAGGTAAAAGAACTACAACTACTAAACTAACTCCCGACATTGAAGACGAGGGGATAAAAAGGGGAGTATAGGGTGTAACACTCAATACTTGCGAACCTATGGACACTGATAGCCCAGTGCTAATTAGGGGATCTAGCAGGTATGTGGTCAGGCTGTGTCGTTATCTACATGGCTCAAAAATCATTCAGCTTGTTGATCTAAAAATACCATGGGCAGTGGCTGGAGCAAAATAGCCCACTGTCATACATTTTCGGTAAAGTTCCTAGCTATCCATAAGCAAGTAAGATGACATTCACTTATGAGATCCTTGCGGCTCGGTTTGAGTTGTCTTAACTCATCTTCAAGATCTTATTTTACCTGCCCTACATAACAGACCCTCCCTTTGAAGAAGAAAAAGGAAGGATAATATATCTGCCACTAGAGATCTTCGCGGACAAACAGAACTGTACACAAGGCAACTCAGGTCTTCTTGGCCATCTGCTTACGTCTTGCTTTGTGTTGTCCGACTCGCATCCTTGCATACATACCTCCATTCTCGCCGAAAACAAAAGGTGTTCCGCTGAAAGCCTCCACAACGACATTTCTGAGAAGCGCGCCCTGAATGCCACCATCTTCTCCGGTTTTCTCCATGACCGCGTTTTCGGGCTTGGATATTTCTCTTACTTCCCTAGACAAAGGTGACAATTCTTCAATACGAGGACTACGTTTCTCGGCAGGAATGATATCCCTACCATGAGGAACCTCGCTGTCAAGCTTCACCAGAGCCCCTGCCGACGCTGTCACTTTCTCTGGGATTGTGGACGAAGCATCTACCTTCGGCTTTTGATCACCGTCAAGGTTGGCAACTGTAAACTGTAGACCAAGGTGACCATCACGCTGCCGCGAAGCACCACCACCTTTGGAAAGAAGCTCAATTCCTTCCTTCCAAGATCTAAATGCTCTATCCAAAGCATGCCATTCTGTTTCACATCTACATTCTGCTTCGTTGCTGCGATGGCAACTCTCTTTAACGGCATCAAGTTTCGACTCTCGAGGTTGCCCAGTGTGACGAGTTTCCGTAATTACACCATATCTAGACAAGGAGTGCACTGAAACTTTAGCTGATCCCGTGTCGGTCTTTCCTAGACCGTCAGCTACTGGGCTCCAGACGATACGCCATCTCCCATTCGGCAGAAGACACACCTGAGGCATGTTCTCTGGAAGGACCTCCAATATCCTGCACTCCATAACAAAATTCATCACCCAAAGATTCACTGCTTAGTTTTGGGCATAGCTAGAGAGGACTCTTTCTGCGCTCCAGAATATTTTCTCAACGCGGAGGCCTCTAGGAACATGCAAACACTATGAAAGCTCTCTCCATTAACATGATTATATCTATGAGGGGTCGCAACCACATGACCTTACAAAATCACTGAAGAGTGGTAAAATAACGGAGGAGCTCAGAATCGGAAATGTAATGTTTTTCTCAAGATTGCACGTAAGAATGACATACCTCAGTAACACTCTGTCCACAATAATCTGCGGCCAGGTTGCATCTGAACCGCAAATTGGGCAACACCATGTCGTTTCCATTTTCTGCTTTTTGCGCAGGTGAGTAGTACTGCACCTGGAAGTCTCATCCTTAGCTCGCACCTGAAGTACACATGACATTCAATGTTAGGACCACAGCCGGAGGCACAAGGTATTTCGATCCATCTCCACTCTTAATCCTTGGCTCTGTCGAAGGAGAATCATGAGATGGACAAGAAACTGTACTGATTAGAGATAAAGTCTACTAGCCTGAGGAAAGTAGACCCCCGGCCTTCGCTTATTGTTGTTTACCAATCAAGTAGGAACAGGTTGGCGAGAACGAGTAGGGTGGGATGAATGCTTAGCCGGAAGAAAGGTTTAGTAAAGTTTGAAACTGAATGTCTCGATTGCCCGAGGTATTCTATCAAAAAATGTGATTCGTTCGGACCTTCCCAGGTGTCGACCAAGAAACACTTGAGTAGCTCATACACGCGTACAGTTTGCTGGGCCAAAGAAGCAGTAATTCAAAGAAGCAGCCCATACTGAGTATGTTCCAATTCCACAAGCAGGCCGAGGTTGTAAAATTATTCATGTCTCAGGTTGTTGAAGGCGCTGCATGTCATCAGATGATGTAGTGTGGACACGTCATGTATACCACACACTGTGCAACCACCGGGGTAGTTCCCTTCGGCTCTTTTTGAGATTAGGCGGGATAGCTCCCCACCAATATTTGAACGTTGGCCATTTGAGTAGGCGATGAGACACCCTAAGTTATGCCTTGAAAACCACGGTTTCAAGAGTACATTGTCAACAGGGATAAGGAAGTCATTCGCTTCCTCCTGCTCTATTTCTCACAGAACCCGAAGCAGAAGTGGACCATTTAAAAACTTGAAGGCTCGCTCTATCGAGGGTGATGATCTCCAGTAGGAGAACTGGAAAACACAATCATTTTGATACAATAGCGACTAACTTTTAACTCCAATGCAGGCACTACAACTCTGATGTAGACTTAAGATGGAGCTGAAGAAGGTTCAACTTCTTCATACAGTAGCCTCCAGTTCATATATCCTACAACATTTACTCAGTAATCTGCTTTTATTCCGTAAGATTACATCCTGAGCAAACAATCCAATTACGTACATCAACTTAACATCAGTCTAGTAGATAAAACCGAGATCAAACACAAATCCCGCCTCAGGTGTTGGAGGTAACCCATCTCAAAGCAACACAAACTAACCCAGCACATTAGTGACTCACGCTCACCTCCAAATATGCTTGAAGGTCAAAACTTGCACGGTGACTGCAACTACGTCCTCGGGCTGGAACCTATTTATCCAGAAAAAAAAAACACGTCTCACAATCAGTTACGTATCTACGGCTATACAGCATTGATGCCAGCGACATGCACTCCGGAAACAAATCTTTTCATACATGAGCTTGAAGGAACAGAGAAGAGGACAATCACCATACCTTAACACGGCTTCCAGAAAGCGGACAGAGCAATGACACTGCAATTTCAACCAGACACAATTTAGATTGTCAGAAACAGGAATCATGTGATCCCGCTATCAAATCTGCTCCAGTTAGACGTACGAGTTACTTACTGCGTTCAGGCCAACAGTAAAAGGCTCATTGCTGGCAAAAGGTAATGTAAAGCTGTCAATAAGTAACAACACACCTCAGACATGAAAACTCAAAACGTACCAATAGTTCCAGAACCTCCAGATAAATCACCAGAAACTCTGCCTTCTTGACCTTTGGACCGAGGTGTGAAAAGCTTCTCTCGTAAAGCACGTTTCACCTACAAAAAATTGGTATCACGAGCAACAATTAGGACCCGACAATTAGGCCTTCCCCTAAGTGAACGGTTAGAAGTTTTGCATGTGAACGCAAGGTGATACTTTTGGATCACTCGGTACAAGGCCAACTACGAGAACTACAAGAAAGATATCGAATTACCAGAGCTGGTACGCCTTCGTTCTGCACAAGGGTGTTACTCAATTTTTCATCTTTGGTGTCGCTTTGAGACTGAGGATCAGGTGCCTCTTCTGATGGAAAACGAGGTGCGTCTATCAGGCCTCCGCCGCTCGCTTGCTGTTTTTTTGGTTTGACTCCAGAGCTCTGCAAAATAAGGTCTACAGATCAGCAAAAGTCTCAAGCGTCGGTTGGTTAAAAGTGAGGGATTTGAAGCAAAGTCATTACCTCATACTTTCCGCTCGAAGTAGCTGACTGCAGTTCTCTTTTTTGAAGCAAGCTCGCAATTTTCAGGCGAAGCTTACGACATTCATCCATCTTTTCCTCCAAAATCTCCCACTGAAGTGGTGAGAAGCACGCTTGACTTTTCTCCAATGCCTTCAAGAAAATATCTACGCATCGGCATAACTGCAAAAGCAAATACGACTGCTGATCAACATCTCTGATCCCGGTGTCTCGCGAAATGAAAGGCCAAAATCTGAACTACTACAACGAGATTTCAGCTGAAATGGAAGGTACCACAACATCCGCCAACCAAGGTAATGAACGATGTTGTTCGGCGATGTAACACAAACCTCTGGATCAGGAGACCGAGTCCAGGACTCGCGAACGAGACTACGACATATTACTGGAAGCACAGCACCACACATGGTGAACAAGAGGTGCTGCAAAGGTCGGGGATGAGGCCTAGCCTTCCTCAGCATCTTGAGTAACCAAGCGACCCATCTGGCAGCCAGTTCTCTGGTACCCGCCTCCCATCTGCAATGGACAGCGCAACTACATGTGCGTGTCACTAACTGAGTACAAAAGGATATGCCGGCTTAGAAATGAACGTCTCACAATCGTGACAGAGAGTACAATAAACGACACAATAGATAACTGAGGTAGAAACCACAAGCCCCAAACATGATGTTTGAACAATCGCGACTGCCTGCTACACTGGCTACCTCACCATAACTACACTTGAAAGGTGTAAGCTAAAGAAGAACCCGAGAGCATCGCATGTAACGATGACTCGAAGGCATAGGAGCCCCACAGACATAGATCAGTGTAAAGCAATGAGAGGTAGCAGTTTTATGGCCCGCCAACAAAGCTGGACACTGCTATTTGACTCCGCGGTTCGGCAAAAGTATAGGGACCGTAATGAATTAGTCATGGCATGCGAATGCACACTTGGCTCATGGCTCCTACGAGCTTCTACTACAGAAGTCAAACAGATACATGAGAGACTGCCACGTTCTATAATAAATCACGTCACGTGATTACAAAGCAAAACGAAGAGTACTTCGGTGAGAACCAGATGAAGCATGCTGATGTGAAATAGATAATAACATCTCCTTCGCTACTTAAGCACAGCTGCAATCATCTAGCCGTTCAAGCAAGTAGCTTAAGGTGCGTCGCGGTCATAGAGAACAGTCCATGCAATCCAATGCTAAAGTTTCGACGGTAGCGTCCTCGATGGCATCTGAATTGGAGACGTTTCCTGTAGAGATAGAAGGACGGGCTCTCCTCAATAAACATCGCTGGGGACATAAAGAACAACTGATCCACGACGACTTACTTGTGAAGAATGGCGAGCTGCGCGAGACCAATTTTGAGATTCTGCTCCATGCGATCCCAACGCTCAAAATGACAAGACATTGCTTGGGACCTGGCAGATCCACTAGACTCGTATTCCGCATCTCCATCCTTCCTGCCTTCCCCAGCTCTTCTTCCGTGCAAAGATTCTCTTTTGGATGAGCTCCTTTTCTGCTGAGACCTAGCTTGCCTTCTGGTCAAGGGGGTGATGACCTCATTCAAGGTCGCCAGTTCATCTCCCCAGGCGGCGAAAGGTATCCTTTTCTTCCTGGAAGTCCGACTCAAGCTTTCGAATGACCCTCCCAGAAAGCTCTTGCCATGGCTACCAGACGGAGAGGTTTCCTGACTGACCCGTTTACTGCCTGAACTGCCCGACGTTCTCTTGCTACCCCAGAAGATCCATCCCTCCAATTCTCCCTCAAAGTAATCGTCCGGGGCAAACCTCCGAGAGCGTTCCTCGGAACCTAGAACTTTTCCTGATCGAGAAACTATGTAGAGCACAGCCCCTTTGTCGTGAGAAGTGGACATGGACACGTAGTCCTATTCCCTCCCCAATTTCAATATTTAAGGTTCGCGTCTGCCAACACATCGACTCCTGCTACAGATGCACGAACAACAAAGACCTTATCTTAGCTTTCTCTCTGCTTGATCGCTCTCAGAAACAGAAACCAACGCATCCTGGCAACCTCTTCCAAACGAGCTGTGCAGCGCTTCTCCGCCTGTATGGAAACTAATTTTCAAATGGTGACCTCCCATGGAATACGCCCCGAGCTGGACACCAATCAGGTGAATTCTTTTGCGGTCCACTAAGCGCCGTATCGCGACTAATAGGAACGCCTGCTTTTTCCCTTCCACAAGAAACAAATCGACTTTTCACTTCGTCCCCCACCTCACCCCGTCCTCGAGCTGTACGAAGCAATGGTTGTCCATCTAAACGAGCTTCTTCAAAGCATCAATGTATCGGACCTTCGACCGAAAAGCTATCGTCCAAGCTCTCCCTCGTCGGGCCGCGGAATCGCTCTCAATTGCCAGCAAAGTACACAACCCTCGCGAAATCCTCGCAAATGCTCCGCCACCATGCTCGACTAGAAATTCGACCACTCAAGCCGCTCCATCGCACCTCCGAGCCTCCGAATTCCTGCAGGCTACGCAATCACGTCCGGGTGCGCGTCCTCGGCCAAACTCACTCGGTCGCTCACTCACTCACTCGCATCGACAAAGCGTCGGGCGTTCACATCGACAAAATCCAGCGAAGGAATGTGCGCCACGAAGGAGTCAGGACATGACAAGTACAACGGCGACGGGATACGACGCAAAAGCAGAAGCAGCGATGGGACTGGAGCCCGAGAGCGAGAGGAGAGCGCCCGAGGTCCGCGCAAGGCCAGCCATTCTAAAGCGAGCAATCTGCCCGTGGAAGCGCGGAGGTGGTCGCTCAACGACAGCAACAGAGAAAAGATTTCTTCCAGGAGGAAATGCGCAAGGAACGACAGCCAGGAGCAGCGGCCCTGTCCTCCCCCGCGGGCGCTCTGGCTCGCCATTGGCCGGCGCCGGCCATTGGCTGGTCGCCCTGACTCCGCGAGCCCGCTGGCCCGACGCAAAGCGTCGATATATTCGCCTTTGCGGGATCCGCTCCAACCAACCACGATTCTTTATCCCACGGAGTCCTACACCGCCTCCCAGCCCTCTCCCAGCCCTTCCCTGCCCCTCCTAGCCCGGCCCGGCCCGGTCCCCCGCCGGAGATGATGACCGGCCCGGACCATCCTGGCTGACGCCAGCGGCATGTGCCACGTTCCCATCGCTCCGCTTTGCATCCGACGACGGCCGTCGACGCTTCTCGACCGGCTGCGACCGGTTCCGCCTCACAAATATCTCGCTCCGCTGTGCGCCAGGCCTTCGGATCTTATCTAGTCGTCTACTTGTCCTGAATTCGATTTCCGGTCCCCGGCCGGACACTCCATTAATGTTCGAGGCCTGCGATCTTGGAGGCCCGCCTGGCCTACGCTATCGCCCTGCAAATTAAGGGCCCGCCCGACTTGGGCTCAGATGTACGGTGCCTAGCGGCCTTGCTAGAGTTAGCTGCCGTGCTTTTTGCCTCTCTTCCCCACCCCCCGCCCCGCAGTCAAAATCATTCCTCATTTCCGAGCCGTGAATCCTATTTTGGGCTCGGTGGAGACTTCCCAGTGAGGAAACATTTGGGTTCTAGCTTATTTCCTCTCTGATCAAAGCCGGTGCTATATATGACCGACCACCTTTGATCATAGAAGAAGAATATTCTTTGTTATATAATATCGCTCTTCTACACATTTTCTTTGTAATATTATATCGTTCTTCTATATATTTCCTTATGTATTCACCCGTATATATATTCCCGTTTCCATTTACGAATGAGATGACGAAAAAATTGAGACGCATGCAATCAAAGCTTTACAAAACAACGATGGTCAAGGCAGCCCCACCATAGCGACGAAGGAAATTGACGTATCCGATCTCTCTCTCTTTCTGATCAGGAGAAAATCAATCTCTCGCCATCCCTCCAACTACTCTCCAATATCCTCAGCATGCAAGTCTTTAGTACGGGTGATTATGAAGAGTCAGAACAAGCCCCACCAATCAAATATGTCCTCCTCTTGGTTAGGTAGACTATATATAGCACTTAGTAGACTACAGATCGAAAGTATTTTGGACGAAATATGCACGAAGTTCTGACTTTTTGTTTAAGATCAAAATGCCACAATTTTCTTAAAAAATTAGATAATAATAATAATAACAATAACAATGCCACAATTTGACGGAGCGCATTTCTAAACTGTGGGCACACCACTTTCGTAATTTAGCTTTATAATTACGAAGGCTTGCATGTTATAGAGAATTAAGATTTCATGATTCATGCAGAAGTGGTGCTATGCCAGAGCGGACTTAATCAGGACACGATGAATGGCTTGTCCAAGCTCGAACATCGCCGAGACCGGAGAGTGTCCGCAGACAATGTTTATTGAGGCAAGGCGGAAACATGTGCGCGACCAGAGAGGTGGGAGGCGCTGGCCCGTAGGAGATCAACTTGCAACGATTCCATCCGGACACATGCTGAAGATGCCACCGGCCTACAGTGGTCCAGCATGTTACCCCCGGCCCGTCACCGGTAAAAGTATCCTGACGTGCGGGTCGACATAACTACCACGGTCCAAGCCTTGCCAGCTCTCGATAAGCACCGCGTTCTCGACGGCCCTCGCGACGGTCCGACTGCGCAGTCCTCAGGAAAAGTGCACGCGCCCGTCGGAGCCCATCTGCAGAAAGGCGTATCTAAGGCCCGGAGGCAGCTCCGGTTAGGGCAGAGAGAATGGGAAAGAGCGAAATCGGTGGTGATGGCGGTCCGGAAGGAAATCCGACAGTCCGACAGGGTACGGGAGCATGGGAGGCCGTCATGGAAGCCCTGCTCCCACGTGTGTGGGATATTTACTCCTATTGCTGAACAGTGCGCAAGTTTCCCTTCCTCTTTTCCGGTCTCAGACCTTTCCAAGTTTTTTACACTATCTCTTGATTCGCAGCAACCTCCAGGTTCACACTGGTCTTCGTCAGCTTGGATAGTGTGCCTTGCTCTGATTTGTGGAAGCAGGCTGACGAAAAAATTTGAGACGGGTAAAATTCTTTGTTTCTGATTTGCGGTGCTCGACTTTTTTTTTTTTTTTTCTCGAAAGAATTACTGCCTTTTCGAGAAATCCTGTCCTGTCAATCTGAGCCTCCGCAGCATCCAGATCATCCAGATAAGGCGTGAAACATAAAAGACAAGAGTGCGACGTATTTCGCAGAAATCGGGTGAGGATATTGCCTATTACATCCCTGCGTTTAGATCTCTTCTGTTGAATGATTCACGTCAGCTATATCACTTCCGATTTGCTTGATGCGCGTGATTCCGATATGGAAGTGGAGATTAGTCAGGAGAAGCTCAATTCCTTAACATTGAAAAGTCATGCACTGTTTGACATTCGGATTAAACACTGTATCGCCTTTAGATACTTTCCTCTCCTTCAACTACTTCCACTCAACACGTTCGGTCAATATACTATGCAGACTTCAAAAGGTATCGACGATAGATGTTGAGGGTGCTAAGAAAGCAAAAAAAATAGTCCTCGATCAAGTTGAAGACATAAGTAAATGCCACGTTAGTGAGCCCAATCTGTTCTGGAATTTTTTTACAGATATTTGACAATTTCAAGATTATATGATATTACATTGCTTTTCAAACAAAGCACTTCTTGCCACATTTACTCACATTAATTAGCGAACTATGATTTCTTTTTGTCAATTCATTTTAGCATTGAAATAAATTTTAGCTTTTAGGAATATCTTGATTTTCTTATATGGTTACATTAAGTTTTTTTAAACTTAATATCTCAAATAAAAGATAAATCTAGTCCTGAAAAAATTGGAATTTTTTTAGTGTTTTCATTAAAATATTTTATATAGATCTTGATATATTATTTTTCAGCCACGCAAATGTACCCTGAAAGAGAATCTTTTTTTCGATACCTTTTACCCATTTATTTCATATACATAATTTTAATAATAATTATATCCTCAAAAAAATTTATTCTTCTATCATGTTCAAAAATTTTAAAACGAAAATTCTCACATTTTATTATTATACTCTAATATACCAATTTTTTTATTTCAAAGATAAAAAATATGATATTATGTTAATCACGATTAGAAAACGATGAAGCTCTTTGTTTAAATTTTATATCGAATTAATGCATGACCGGGAAAGACGAACTTTAATGAGGTATCATAAATTTTAAAACTTTGAAATCTAAGATATTTTCATATAATTTCTTTTGCATAATCATCAAACTTAAAATTATCTCCTAACTTTCCAATTTATCTTACTTTATCTAAGTTAGATATATGACACAAATTCTACCAGAAAAAAATAAGAAATTGCTATATAAATTTATTGAATTAAAATTGAAATAAGAATTGTGATCTCATTTAAATACATGTGATTGGACATCGGAAAGTTACATTGTTGGATGCACATGTTGTTTCAAAATATGTTGTAATTAAAATTAGGAAAGATGGGAATTTTTCTCTCATTTTATGAAATAATGAAGTTCATGAAATTCATCTTTTATTATATTAGTGATGTGTAAGTTCAGAAAATAAGGAACTATCTCATGTTGCCTCATAATTTTTAACATTGATTCATCAGTATATTACATCACTGCTTTTTCAAATATATAAACATGACATTTATACGTGTGAACTAGGATATTATAATGTTCATGTAACCTAGATTATATTGAAATCAAAATACTGAAGATATAAGTATGTAATGAAATATGAATCAAATAGTTATGCTTCAAAAACTATACTCAGCGAATCAAAAATGTAAACTCAAATCATCTTTTATATAGGAGAGTATGATTGATATGTTTCTACTATAGCAAAAAAATATCATCGTTACTTGAACTGAATAATATTATTAGAGATGCATCATACTTTGAATCTGAAAAAGTACATGTACTTAATGCTGAGAAACTAATGTTTTAGTAAATAATTGGTTAATTATAAATGTATGCAGGTTTAAAGCTATCATTTGTTTGACGGATCGTCGAGATAGTGTATTTTATAATATATTTAACAAGTCTTAGGTTACTTCAATCTATATTTGAAATATATTCATATGAATTTTCTGAAAAATTTTAAAAGATGAAATTAAATAATATAAACCTAAAGTATTTAAAAAAAATTCTTGTTGTTAAGATTCATTAAAAATTGGGAAAAAAGTAATATTTGTGTGTGATGAAAATGATAACAAATAATTGAAAAAGAAAGTGGTTATATTGTTGTGCTGAAAATTAAAAAAATTCCTATTTAAAAATAACCAGATGAACCAATTGAAAAGTGATTTTTGTGAAAATTATATTGCAATTAATAAAATATTGACAAGTTAAAAGAAAGTGTACATTGATCCTTAATTATTGTCATAGTATAATAAATGTGTTAATTTTCGTACAACATGTGCTTCACCTTCATGTCTATCTATAGATTTAAATTATGTACTCGTGAAGTTATTCTTTCTGAGAAATTGTAGATCATTATTATATTTTTGCCAATCTAGTATAAAATTTGCAAACAATAAACTTCTCAATCAATGATAATAGTTATCAACAATCTTGATATGATGATGATGATATAGACATAGTTATATTGATCTAAGTTATGAATATTTTATTTTATTTTAAATTTCAAGTGTACACGTTCTAATTGTATAAATATGTTTCTTATATACATCCATTTCAATTAATTTGATAATAATATGCTTTTCAGTTTCTAGCTTATCTATGAATGCTATTGAGTTATAAAAACATATTAAAATTATATTAAGAAATACAAAAGTAGAAGATTAATATGAATAAATTTTGTTACATAGATTCAATTCAAGATCTCAAAATTTAGAAAAAAAAATTGGGTTATGTTATCTATGCTTTTAAGACCATGAAAATGTAATTAG